AGATGGCAAGTTATTTCTTTCTCACTAAAAGACAAAAATTGAAATAGTAAAGTTTTTAAGGAAATTATTTTACTCGGTTTTATTTCTGGTTCAATTCAGTTAAACAAAGCAATCTCCCCCTAGTTATACATACAATATCATTGACCAAATAATAAAGACTTTTTCTTTTAATATATTTGAGTGTATGGGGTAAGATGACAAGTTCTTTCATCATCACTAAAAGAAAAAAAATTGAAATAATAATTTTGGTAAAAAAGTGTACCTAGCTTTTATATATATATGGGCAGTTCTACGGTACCCAGGGTGAAATCCAGGGTACCAAATACCTTGAGTATGAAAATGCTATCTAGACATTGAATTGATTGAATTTTCGGGCATGATACTATACTCTAACCCTTAAAGATCACAATCTAGGCCTTAATTCTCTAAATCCTATACCCTGAGATCAATTTAATTAGAAACAATAATCGACGGTTATGATTCGCCCAGAAATAGGCAAAAAATGAATGCCCCATCTTAGGGTTTATAGTTTATGATTTAGATAACTAGGACCTAGAGTTCACTCATTAAGAGTTAGGGTATAGTATCAGGTCCAAAAATCCTGTTAATTCGAGGTCTAGATTGAGATTTCATACTCAAGGTATACGGTACCCTAGATTTCACCCGGGGTACCGTAGAAGGCAGCGTACGTCAGGCGTACAACATACGCCTGTGTTCACACTTGGTTTTTGCACTTCAATATATTTCATTGAATCGGAACCATCGGTTATTATTTTTTGAATTAGAGAATTATGGACTGAAGTTCATCCATTAGAGATTAGAGTATAGTATTATACCTCAAATTCTGATTAATTCATGTTCTAAACAGTATAACTCGACGAGCATACAATATACGACGGACCAAGTTACCCTCCTCTGCCTCCTCCCATGTTTTTCATCTACAGACACGATGAATGTTTGACGAATATCTTCCTGAAGGCCAAGTTATGGTCCTCAATGAAGAAGGATTCAGTTTGGGATTCTTCTTCCCGGGGAATTCAATTATATTAGTACACCGAAGTTTCGGTTTGTTTTGGAATGGGATTAGGTGCTAACCCTTATAGGGGTTAGCACCGTGATAACTAGCAAAAAACGCTACTAAAAATAACGAAATCATTACGGATTATTATAAAATCAATACAACATCTAAGCTAAATCACTACTAATTCAAACTAGTAGTAGTTTTTCCCTTGGTTAGGACGGTGCTAACTATTGTACAATTAGCACTGTAGTCGTTCCCATTCCGTTTGTTTTCGGTTGCTAATAGGGACAATAGTTGACGACAACCAAAGCTAGAGTGTAAACAGCAGCAGCTCTTGTGTGAGTCAACGGCAATAATTAAGTGATTGAGTGATAATAAAGTCCTTTCAAATTTTGATTCTAAACCAACTACATTTCCGTAGTACCCAACAACTTTTGTATCAGAGTTGATATCATTTTCCGATCCTCCTAAATCAGTCATATATTCCATATTCATAAAATTCCGAAACACCTTAGCAACAGCCCAAGCGAACACCATGTTAGTGAATACCCCCAGTCAGATTCCAATCTTCGAGGGTCAATCCTACGAGTTTTGGAGCGAATAAATGGAGAGCATCTTCATTTATTCTAACGAAAGTTGAGGCTATTTTTGTTGTTGTTGAAAGTTACGGTTAAAGTTGTCTATTTTTACCGAATTGGGACGATGTAGGGGATTTTAACTTATATTATGGCCGTTGTAGAGAAAGTTTTCGCCACATAGGAAAAAGAAAGCTCCATAATTTTACATATCATTTTTATCATTTAACATTTTTGAAGTTATTGATTATATTAAAATAAAACTAAATAAACATGTATGTCAATCGTCATGACCAAGATTTGAACCTGTGACCTATGAGTTCAAACTATCATCATTTTAAATGTTCAACCAATAAGATAAAGTATATTCGATGCTATTAATCACAATAAAAACATGTATATCAATCACCATAATTAAAATTTAACATGCAATCTAAGAGTTCGAACGGTAAACATTTCAGTTGTTTAACCAATAGAATAAAATCTCTTTGATGCAATTAATCACAATAAATAATATTCATGTTATAAAAAAAAGACAACACATAACATTCTATTTCCATTTAATGGTTGACTTCTGTACATTACACAACAAAAACTATCATGGATAAAATTTTGTATTCTATTTTTTAGCAATGATAGAAAATCACTAACAATTACAAATAACCTATTTTTAATTTTTATGTTATATGTTTGATAATCGTTTATACTATTTTAAAAATAATTAAAAATCCAAAAAGCATGAATTTATTTGACATAGTACACAATTCTAAAATTTTACATAACTTGACATGTGATTTTATTTTTAAAATTGAAAAATGAAAAAGCAAACAATAACCTTCTTTTGTATTCTATAACACGAAGAATTTAACATTTTGCATATACGAATTAGGGGTGTACATGGGTCGGGTGGTTAGGGTTTAGTTATTTTAATCACCCGACCCATGCACTACGGTTTGGGAAATATCAAACTCAAACCCACCCAACAAAATTTAAACCCTACGGTTTGTTTCTAATTGGGTTGGGTCGGGTTGGCGATATTTTTAAGTAAAAACCCAACCCAACATAAAATATATAATTATTCTACATCATAAAAATATTTTATAACTAATTAAAATTTCAAACGAATGAACCAAGGTGAAAGATATCAAAATTCAAAAATGTTGTTTAAATTTTAATAAAATGTTATTTACTTCAACATATGTCTTGTTTTTTCACAATATTTGTTGAAATAGATTAAAAATGTTATAAACAAACGCATTCATCATATGTTATTCTATTAAAATTGTACACAAGAAAAAGGATTACGCGAATCATAACTACATTCAATTTATATCTAAACTTTAAGGCGAAGAATGCATTAGATTAGGGAGACCATGAGAGAAAAACATGGCGAAATATCTTAATTTTCTCATAAGTATATGACTATATACGACGTAAATATTTTTTAAATCCGAACTCATACTAATAGTTGGAACACGGGTTGGGTCGGGTTCTACAGGTTGTGCAATCCAAAATCCAAACCCAACCCACAAAAGGCGGGTTGTACAAAAGAAAACCCTCACCCAACCCAAAACTTTCGTTTTAGCGATAAATACGGGTGGGTTGGGTCGGCTTGGACGGGTGGGTTGGTTTGCGGGTGTGTTTGTTCACCCCTACATTTGACATGCCTAGCTTTGATCGTTCGATTTCGCTTGGAACTAATGCATAGAGTTAGGGGTGTACATGGGTCGGGTGGTCCAGGTTTAGCCATTTTAATCACCCGACTCATGCACTACGGTTTGGGAAATATTAAACCCAAACCCACCCAAAAAAATTAAAACCCTACGGTTTGTTTCTAATTGGGTTGGGTCGAGTTGGCGATATTTTTAAGTAAAAACCCAACCCAATACAAAATATGCAATTATTCTACACCATAAAAATATTTTATAACTAATTAAAATTTCAAACGAATAAACCGAGGTGAAAGATATCAAAGTTCACAAATGTTGTTTAAATTTTATTAAAATGTGATTTACGTCAACATATATATAGTTTTTTTCCACGACATTTGTTGAAATAGGATAAAAATGTTATAAACGAACGCATCCATAATATATAATTCTATTAAAATCGTACACAAGAAAAATGATTACGTGAATCATAGCTATATTAATTCTATGTCTAAACTTTAACCCGAAAATGCATTAGATTAGTGAGACCATGAGAGAAAAATATGGTGAAATATCTTAATTTTCTAATAAGTATGGTTATATACGACATAAATATTTTTTGGATTCGAACTCATATCAATAGTTGGAACACGGGTTGGGTTGGGTTCTACGGGTTGTGTAATCCAAAATCCAAACCCAACCCAAAAAGGCGGGTTGTAGAAAAGAAAACCCTAACCCAACCCAAAACCTTAGTTTTAACGATAAATACGGGTGGGTTGGGTCGGGTTGGACGGGTGGGTCGGTTTGTGGGTGTGTTTGTTCACCCCTAATACGAACTACTATAAATATGTGAACCAATACAGTTATGTTGCAATTTGTTAGAAAAGAACTACTATAAATATCCGAACTAATACACTCTTATTGCGATGTACTAGAAAAATAACAAAAAATGTTGTGTGCTTACTAGGTTATTAATAGATAATAGCATGAAGTAAAAATGATGATTTGCTAATAGCTAAATTACACGTTTGATCACTTAAATAATACAAATCTTTTACGTTTGCCATCCAAATTACTTTTCTTTCTTATTCGCCACTAACTTTACGAATCGTTTCATCGTTAGTCACCGGCCGTTACCCTCCGTTAAATTTGTCATATGTGGCAGTCAACTATAAAATTTGACCGTTAACTAGATGACATGGAAATTAAAAAATTAAAAAAATACTAATTTGTTTTTCCACCTCATCATTACACCTACTTTATCTATATGATTTATCATATTAACTATTTAATAAAATTAATTAACTTTAAAAAAATAATTATTAGCGACGTTGAGGAGGAGGATCATCCCGTATGCGCAAAGTTGAGAATTTCTGCTTCTTCTCCGGCTCTGTAGCTAGGTTGATTGTGCTCTGCCCAGCTAAGTACACTTGTTATTAGCCCAAGTAAACAGGAAGGCCTGAAGATCTTTGTTTACCCGGTCCAGCGAAATGTCGATTGATTGAAGTTGTAAAGCAATCCCAGCCTGCATCGGATCCGCCACCAGATGACCAAGTATTGAGCTTTCTCGACAAATAACTCTGGACTTGACATATTCCACCATTTTCCCATACTCATCAACGCTGAGAGATTCCAATTTATCCGTCGCTTTGTCGGCGACGAAGCTAGATGAAAGGGGAACGAATTTAATGATGTTGACGAAAGCCACGGCAGACGAATCGAGGGAGTGGGGGATGAAGTGGATTCTGCGATTATTGAACAAAGATGTGCTTATTGTCGCCGTCTTGAAGTCGAAGCCTTGACTATAAAGATTTCCATAACCGCAAGCTCCCCTTGAAAAGAATATGAAGGGGGAAAAATTGATCAGTGGAATCCCACAATTTAGGGATTTTTGAAACTTGGGTTTTGAAATTGAGATGGTAATTGAACCCGGGAATCAGGGATACTATTCAACTTGGTTGCCAGAGGCATCGCCACCTCCGTTGAAAGTGGTGCGAGCGTGAACCCAGTTTCCTGCAACCCCCTGCCCCTTTCAAGCGGATTCCACCGTCGACAACCGCTCATCTCCGAGATCCGCTTCCCGCGACCTGCTCAGAATCTGCTTCATCCCCCACTCTCCCAATTCGTCTACCGTGGCTTTCGTCAGCATCATCGAACTCGTTCCCCTTTCATCTAGCTTCTTCGCCGACAATCGGAGCGTAGCGGTCCCTTCCGACGGCGTTGTTGCTGGATTCTTCGGGTTCCCAACTTCCCATCCAACGCTCTTCTCCATTGCCTCTTCCTTCGAATCCTCCACTGCTCGTTCGAGTCGCGCGCTCCCGATCGAAGCTCCGCCAAGAGATCCCTATACCTCTCGAAGGGGACTTGTTCCGGTGTGTGGATATTGCCGATCACAATCGCAGACGGGATGATCCTCTTCCTCAATGTCGCTAATAAGTAAATTTTTTAAGTTAATTCATTTTTATTTAATAGTTAATATGATAAATTATATAGATGAAGTAAGTGGAATGATGAGGTGGAAAAACAAATTCATCTTTTAATTTTTTTTTAATTTCCATGTCATCTAGTTAACAGTCAAACTTTATAGTTGACTACCACATAGGACAAATTTAACGGAGGTAACGACCGGTGACTAACGGTGAAACGATTCGTATAGTTAGTGGCGAATAAGAAAGAAAAGTAATTCGGGTGGAAACATGAAAGATTTGTATAATTTGAGTGACCAAACGTGTAATTTAGCCATTTGCTAAGTAAAAAGCATAGTCTTAATTACTTATTCACATGTTCCTATATGTTAAGATTGGTGAAATATATAAACATAGTTCAATTATATGCTACAGTTATATGATACCCGACTCATAAGATAATGATCTAATTCTTTGTTAAATCCATTAACTTTAGGAGTAGAGCTCGAAAGGACTTATTGTCCCTCCCAGTGACCATGGCAGAACGTGGAGTATTCGATTTTCCCTCACCAACCTCTCAACCCTTACTGGCTTAACTTCATTATTAAGATACACCCGATATGGTATATCTCATTCAGTCAAATAAACATCCATTCATCAACACATGACATGTCACTTTCGTCATCTCAAACTCAAAGACTTCATACATTCACAACATAAGGACCATCCCCCAGTTTCTTGATGACTCACTGTATAAACATGTATGCATCAAGTATCACAACATACTGCCATTACCATGTAATGTCATCACAACATAGGAAAACATCACACCGTCTCATGGTAAATCATTATATAAAACACCATAGAAAACCATCACATAACCATCATCATCGACTTGCACATTTCGTATATCACATCATAGGAAGTCATCACGTAACCACATCATAAGTAATCTTAATACAAGGATTCAATCACACGAAAGGTTATGTTGATTCAGTGCTTTGTACTTATTAATTTGCCAAGTCATACACTCCCCTGGTAGTATAATAGATGTCATGTATACCACCATGGATCACACCTAGATCGGTGTCCTATAAATCCCCTGCGGGATCATACCCTGACCGATGTCCTGTATACCAGCACGGGACGTACCGGAACTGGTGTCCTATAAAACCAACAGGGGATCATTTCTTGACCGATGTACTATAAATTCATCTACTGTATTGATCGCACAACATAGCACCTTTACATTTGTATTAAGTTATTACACAATTTCAGTCGTAGTCAGTCACACATTTAATATTGGATGATAATGTGAAGCGAAGACAAAGTGTCTTTATAACTAACATTTTGTTTTCATATCATTTATAAAATGTTGAAGGTAATATAGAAGAATAGTTTGGTTGTACTTTAATATAATGGTGGCAAAGGCTAACGTACACTCAAGGTGTAATATACACATTCTTTCGCACCTATTAGTTGTACTTTAATATATTTTGACAAATAAGAATCACTGGTTATTATTTTTGCATTAAATGAATCGTACGATTTGGATTAGAGAATTAGAGACTAGGGTTCACCCATTACCGTCTATGGTATAGTATCATGTCCCAAACTCCGTTAATTCATGATCTAGATAGCAAAACTCGATAGGAGTACGGTAAGGTGACCTAAACTAGCTTAAACCATGTAGAACTTATGAAGTTGAAAATTGTTGATCAATCAAGGATATGATGGTCATGAATACTATTTTCAAGCAGTGATGAAGTTACATCATTGTTTGACATTATTGTTGATCATGATTAAAACCTGGATTAAATGTACCGCCCCTCATATTAGATGAAACATGGATAATAGATAACAATAATAAATAGATATGAAAAGTAGCATTCTGATACCATTGGAAAAAAAATAATAGATAATAGAAGAAAAAGTACAAACAAGTGACACTTATCGCCCATTGGGCGGGGGCACAACTAGTTTGTTATAATAACCGAATTGGATTAGAGGATGGATTAGTAGAATTATCGCACTAGTTATGATAGCGGTTTAGCGCGTTAGCTTGGAAGATTAGGATTGGACGAGAAAGTTTTCAACAGTTGGACGTGAAATCATATGAATAATTCATGTCTGACTGTTTAATGTTTCATGATTTTAACCACACACAAAATTAGAAATAACACTTTAATGTAAACTAGACCATTCATTCTGAAATAATAGTTTTATTCCTTCTTTCTCTACCTTTCTTGTTGGGTTTACGTGGTCCACTATCGATCGCCATCCTAATTACAAACTTTAATTTAAGAAACTTGTTATGATTTTTTAATTTAAGAAACTTGTTATGATTTCTTTTGTGAGACAGTTTAAATGATTTGATAGAACTTCTGGTGATGGATGATATGGATTTGAAATTGTTCATATAAGTTTAGTCATAAATTAGTGTATTGTATATGCCTTTTATATTATAGTATATGAACGGTTATATTTTAAGGTTAACCAACGGTACTATAACAATTAATGGTAAATCATAAGCCACTAATTATTTTGGTTCAGCAGTTTTCAGTTCAGTTCTGAAAACAGAGATTTGAGGTATTATCAAGGTTGTTAAACTGGATTAAGCAATAACTGGTTTGAGGTTTGATGGTCTAATCGACAACAGTGAAATTGGGTCATTTCTTTTACCAATCTCTAGGAAAACGACGGTTGTTAGTTCTTTTAATTAATTCATTTGGAGCATAGCCTCTCATCCAAGATGATCGATATTACCTTGTACACAAATTGGCATAGATTAATCGACCGTAACTGCTTCATATATTTGACATTATCCACTATGGGAATTAAAACCAACCAAGTATGATTAAAATTCTTCAATAGACCCTCAATCTCAAAGAAGTGAGCCACTGTCTCTGTAACATCCCTACCAACTATATCCCGGAACTTCCTGGAAAAAAACCCAATAAAGTCATCTGAACCAAGAGCCTGAGTTGCGCCAAGCTGGAAGACAGTCGTGCGAATTTCTGTTGGCGAGATCCTTGTCGATAGCTTCACATTCATTGGAGTTGTCATTTTTTCCCCAATCGGCAAACTCATAACATGTTCTCTGACAAACTGGGCATCCATCCCATCAGTAGAAAATAATGAGGAATAGAAGTCACTCACCACTAGCGCCTTTTCATCTTCCTCCATAACCCATGAAACATCTGGCACAAATAATTTTGAGATAAAATTCCTCTTTTGACGCGAGCGTGTCACCAGATGGAAGTAAGACGTGTTCTTATCTCCTTCCTGCAACCACTCCACCTTGGAATTTCTGCTTCCAATATATTTCCTCATTTGTCCAAGCAATTTGAAGTTCCGCTTCTAATTCCCTTATCCTCCCCCAATCCACACTCACTTCCAATCGCAGACTATCAATTTCCTTTTCCAAAGTGCGAATATGTCTAGCTGAGTTTGAGGTGCCCCCTTTTGCCCAGTCATACAACAAATGTCGTAGTTTCTCCAGCTTGCACCACAATCAGTACATAAGAGAGCCCTCAAACTCCATTTCCCAAACGTACCTGGTCATTGCCCGGACTTCAGGATTATCTCCTCATCGGACATTGAACTGAAACATCGACTTCCCTAATCTCTTAACGTCCTCAATGACAAACAAAAGGGCACGATAATCCGACTCACGATCCGATAAATGATGTATCATGGATCCTGGTATTTTAATATCCAATCTTCTCAGACAAACGCTCAATCCAACCTCTCTTGAACCACACAGCTTCGATCCCGTTTGTTAGTTTAGGTGAAAGTCAGACCCTTAAAAGGAAGCTCATGAAGCCACAAATCATCAACAAATTCCCGAAAATTAGCACAATGACTCAGACGCCATGGAAGACCCCTTGCTTTTCATTAGATGCTAAGATGACATTAAAATTCCCAACAATCATGAAAAGGATAAATGTTTATCTCATTTTACAACCTAAGCCTGCATTTTCAATTAACATCCTAATTCAAAAGACAAAAGTCAAATGATTATGCCTGTTTTGAGTTTTGACTCATCAGCCAAAAGTGGAAGCTGCAATATAAGCTGCCTTTTGGTTTAAAAAGAAAAAGAAAAAGTGGAAATTGGTCAAGCCTCCAGAGTTGAATTTTCAAAATCCATAACGAGTTCCCAATCCCTTTTTTTGTTTGGTAGGGTTAGTATTTTCTTCTCTTTTCAATATATTAATTGGTTCACCAATTAATATATCATATCTTTTGACAAAAAAAAGGTTCACTAATTATTCTCATAAATTCATGTACATATTAATTTTCAGTTTGCTCACTCAATCAACTTTTTTACGCAATCTTATCGACCAGTATTTATTTCATGGTTGGTCACATATAATAATTCCCACTTATCCTCCAAACAATATGTAGAGGTTCCGCCTGGGCATAGTAAGGGCCAAGGGGGATTTTTTTCAAATACAATTTGAATCCACAATGCTAAAGATATAAGTTTAGTTTGTATTATAAAATAATTTCTACGCAAATATATATGTGCATACTGTATCGTAAAAAGTATGCTTTTGTATTGTATAGTAAATGAATTTGTAAAAAAAGATATAGGTACAAACTAAATTTGTATGATAAGATATAGAGCAAATATGAAACATTGTAAAATTTCTATATATATTTATTAAAATTATTATTAGCAATTGTCTTTTACTGTATCCATTTAGGTAATTTAGCTTATTGTTAGTTTATTAACCGGTGTATGATTCAAGTGGGAGCGGATTAGGTGAGTAACCTTATAGTGAGTAATCATGAGTAACCCATCCAAATCAGCATGACATCAGCATCCCTATATCTCATGGAAAGCCTTTTATTTTTTCCTTTTTAATCTTTAACGGACGATTTCTCTCTCGTTTTAAGTCAAAATTTAAATATGTTTGCACAGATAAATCAGATCAATTGTGCTCTTTAAAATGATATTTACTTTGATATATTTTTAGGGGAAAAACTTGAGTCATTTTTTACCGGTCAATACCATATGGTATGCTCCTATTTAATACCATATGGAAAGAA